TATTTATTTATTATTTATTTATTACTTTCGTCTTACTATCCCGCTCTAATCCCCGAAGGGGTCTCTGAGCGGCTATACAGTTATCCATTATCCCTATCTAAGGCCACAATTCATCAGGGGTGGGGACATCCCTACCAGCACGCCGTGGAGGGGGGTTGTTCTTCCTTGGGTCATTACAGCGGTCCCTTAGGTATGTAGGCCCCTGACTATATAGATTTGAATCTGACATGTTACAGAAGTTGCGCTACAACAAACACAAGAGGACAGGCAGCCTTGAACGCAGTCTGTTTGACGTAAAAGATTTTGACGCGGCCGATCTGGAATGTGAGAAGTTGTGCCTCGTGGCAGGAGGTGACCCTCTCTTTCCCCCCTGCCCCCTCGCAGCTCTAACATACTCCTGGACGCGGCGCTCAACCCTCGGCTGGCCGACTTTGGACTGGCCCGATTCAGCCGCCGTCCAAAGCCGGGACAACACAGCAGCTCGCTGGGCCGGACCCAGACGGTACGGGGCACGCTGGCCTACCTGCCCTCCGAGTACATCCAGACCGGGACGCTTTCTACGGCCATCGACGTCTTCAGCTTTGGCGTGGTGAGGAATGCGGGAATGGGAGGGACCAGGGTGGCCGACCGTGGGTCGGGAAATCCCTGGAGATTTGGGGATGCGGCCAGGGGAGTGGTGGGGCGTCAGTCGGCTATAATGCCATAGAGTCCACCGTCAAAGTAGCCATTTCCACCAGTGAGACTGATCTGTCATCTGAAGATCAGTCATAAGAACGTAAGAGACGCCAGTGTTGGATCAGGCCGATGGCCCATCCAGTCCAACACTCTGTGTCACACAGTGGCCAGAAATACCAGTGCCATCAGGAGGTCCAGCAGTGGGGCCAGGACACTAGAAGCCCTCCCACTGTTGACCCCCCCCCCAAGCACCAAGAAGACAGAGCATCCCTTGCCCCAGACGGAGAGTTCCTATCTATACCTTGTGGCTAATAGCCACTGATGGACCTCTGCTCCATATGTTTATCCAATTCCCTCTTGGAGCCGTCCGTGCTTGTAGCTGCCACCACCTCCTGTGGCAGTGGATTCCATGTGTTGAATCACTCGTAATTCCAGAACTCTGTACCCCACCTGGAAGCTGGTCATATTTACTAATCATTCTGTATTTTAATGTACTTATTGCAACCATGAATTATAATGTTTTAAATGGTTGGACGTTTTTATTAATCATGTTACCCGCTGGGGAGAGCAGGTTATAAATCCAAGAAACGGAACGAAATGAAACCCTGGGAGGAAAGCAACAAAGAGCTTGTGAAGTCAGGGGCCAGGTTGAAATCCTCCCCCTTCCCTTGAAACTCTGCTCCTCTGTTCCCAGACACACGCTTGCCGTTTCGAGGCCAGTGTTCCCTCTAAGCCGAGTCAGTGTGAGCCGGCTCACGGTTTTTTAGCCTCCGGCTCACGCGTTTTCCTCTTCGCTCAAGGAAGGAGGGGCTCCAGAGCAAACTCATTTCTGCAGCAGCCCAATCGCTCGCTCACAACTTGAATGCCAGTCGCTCACCAAGTAGGATTTTTGCTCACCAGACTCCACAGCTCAGAGGGAGCCTTGGTCGAGGCCCGTTTCTTTCCTTTGTTTGCTACCTATTCCTAGGACTGCGGCAGCCCCTCCCCGCTCGGGAGGCTGGTTTCCCCGGGGAAAGTCGTTTCTGGATGGAACACGACCCGTTTGCCAAGCAGCTCCCTGAGAATCCTCTGCCGAGCCAAGACTCCGAGCGTCTGTTATCTTAGAGAAACACTCGCGTGCCTGAGCTGGGCGTGAGCCGAGATAACTCCCCGGCTTCATCGGTTCGCCTATTTAGAGGCAAAGGCTCATGAGTCCCTTTTAATTTACCGGGCCGGTTCCCGGAGAGTTTCTGCCTTGGGGGGCTCCACTGGGGTGAGCCTATGCCGGGGCCCCCAACGTGGCCCCCACCAACACTTTTCCTGGCGCCCGCCGAGCGTTTTTAGAAAGTGGGCAAGACCAGGGTGTGGCTTTTGAACAGGGAGGCTTCTGATTGGCAGAACGTTGCTTCGGCAGCGGCCGTGCCGCCACGGCCAGAAGGTCTTCAGGGTGTGACTGAGGGTGAGCTGCAGCAGCCATTGCGCGGCTGTCTCTGCCTCCTGCAGTAACCGTTTTGTGGCGGCCATTTTGTGGCCACCCCCTATTGGGTGCAGTAAATAAGAAGCCTGGAGACCGACTGGTGGTGAAAGGCAGAAAGTTTATAGTGCAATAATGGTAACTATATACAGGGAATATACAGACTGCTACACAGCATAACATACCTCGGTTGGAGAGAGCTATGCCCCCCCCCCCCCGTCTTATCAAGCCTAGACATTATATACAACACCCAGCCAATGACTATCAGGGCAAACTAATTACCTACTCCTAATGACCACAAAGAGTAGCACCTGCTCGTTAAACACCTGGCTGTAACAGTGTTAGCCACTTAGCCACTTAGCATGACAGCTAAGACTTAGGCACCTAGATCTTCCTGATCTATACACACATATAAGTAACAGCTTGCTACCTCACTACATAGACATATATCCCAATACCCCCCACCACGCTGTGTCAGGATTCCAAAGGCGTCCTCGGGCTGAAAAATTTCGGGGGCCCTGGCCTGTGCCCTACTGTCGTTGCTGCCTCAGCCCAGGTCGGAACCATGCAGCGCTGAAGGGGCCCGTTGGCCTCCGCTCGTTCCAGGGCTGTGTGAAGGTCCCAAAATCCACCCCATCTGCCCCCTTGTGCACCTGTGTACTGGAGTGGATCCCGCGGCGGACCAGGACCCTGGGCGAGCCTCGTCGGAATCTCCACTTCCATCACGGAAGCTAGCTGAGAGACGTTGGCCTCTCTGTCACCTGGCCTGCCTCACAGGGTTGTTGTTGCGAGAAAAGGGAGGGGAGGTGGAATGCTGTTCCATGCCACTCTTGAGTCTCAGCGACGGACGAAGGCAGGACACCATTTTGTTGTTGTTGTTGTTCAGTCGCACAGTCGAGTCCGACTCTTCGCGACCCCATGAACCAGCTCCCTCTAGGCCCTCCTGTCTTCCGCCGTCCTCTGAAGTTGGCTCAATTTTATGTCCGTTGCCTCGATGACACTGTCTAACCATCTCATCCTTTGCCGTCCCCATCTCCTTTGACCTTCGATCTTTCCCAGCATCAGGGTCTTCTCCAGTGAGTGCTCCCTTCTCATTGGGTGGCCAAAGTATTTGAGCTTCAGCTTCAGTCTCTGGCCTTCCAGGGAACAGTCAGGGTTGATTTCTTTTAAGATTGACTGATTTGATCTTCTTGCAGTCCAAGGGACTCTCAAGAGTCTTCTCCAGCACCATAGTTCAAAAGAATCTATTCTTCGGCGCTCGGCCTTCCTTATAGTCCAACTCTCGCAGCCATACATGACTACTGGGAATACCACTGCTTTGACCATGCGGACTTTTGTTGGCAGGGTGATGTCTCTACTTTTTATCATGCTGTTGAGGTTTGCCATCGCTTTCCTCCCAAGGAGCAGGTGTCTTTTAATTTCATGGCTGCTGTCACAGTCTGCGGTGATCTGGGATCCCAGGAACGTGAAGTCTGTCACTACTCCGACGACTTCCCCTTCTATTTGCCAAGGAGTGATGGGGCCGGCTGCCATGATCTTAGTTTTTTTTATGTTGAGCTTCAAGCCCACTTTTGCGCTCTCCTCTTTTACCCTGAGCAAGAGGTTCTTTAGGTCCATTACATACATGCAAATGCATCCCTCCCTGTAAAGTAGAGATATCTGCCCCCTTCCCCAATCCTGGCTTCCCAGATAACACTCCCTCTAAGCCATAAGAACATAAGAGAACATAAGAGACGCCAATGTTGGATCAGGCCAAAGGCCCATCCAGTCCAACACTCTGTGTCACACAGTGGCCAGAAATACCAGTGCCATCAGGAGGTCCAGCAGTGGGGCCAGGACATTAGAAGCCCTCCCACTGTTGACCCCCCCCCCAAGCACCAAGAAGACAGAGCATCACTTGCCCCAGAGCCCCTAGCTATACCTTGTGGCTAATAGCCACTGATGGACCTCTGCTCCATATGCTTATCTAATTCCCTTTTGAAGCTGTCCATGCTTGTAGCACCCACCACTTCCTGTGGCAGTGAATTCCATGTGTTAATCACTCTTTGGGTGAATAAGTACTTCCTTTTATCCGTTCTAACCCGACCGCTCAGCAATTTCATGGAGTGCCCACGGGTTCTTGTATTGTGAGAAAGGGAGAAAAGTACCTCTTTCTTTACCTGCTCTTTCCCATGCATAATCTTATAAACCTCGATCATGTCACCCCTCAGTCGTCTTTTCTCCAAGCTAAAGAGCCCTAAGCGCTTTAACCTTTCCTCATAGGGAAAGTGTTCCAACCCTTTTATCATTCGAGTTGCCCTTTTCTGCACTTTTTCCAAAGCTATAATATCCTTTTTAAGGTGTGGTGACCAGAATTGCACACAGTATTCCAAATGAGGTCGCACCATGGAGTCTTGTGAGCAAAAATTCTACTTTGTGAGCGACCGGCATTCACGTCGTGAGCGAGCGATTTGGCTACTGCTTTAATTAGTTTGCTCTGGAGCCATCCTTCCTGCGCTAAGACAAAAATGTGTGAGCTGGAGGCTAAAAAACTGAGCTAGTTCACACTAAGTCAGCTTAGAGGGAACACTGGTTGTAACTCGCCCTGAGCCTGCTGCTTGGGGGAGGGTGGGCTAGAAGCCCAATAAAACAAGCAAACAAATAAATAATGTATGTTCTCCTATTAGTGGATGACTAGGACATAGACATAGACTGATAGCATTTCTTTGCCGGGACCAGTGTTCCCTCTAAGCTGAGTTAGTGCGAGCTAGCTGACAGTTTTTTAGCCTCCGGCTGCCACATTTTTTTCTTAGCTCAGGAAGGGTGGCTCCAGAGCAGTGTTCCCTCTAAGTTGAGTGTGCGCTAGCTCACAGTTCTTTAGCCTCCGGCTCACACATTTTTTTCTTCGCTCAGGAAGGAGGGCTCCAGAGCAAACTAATTTTTCCAGTAGCCAAATCGCCAGCTCACCACTTTAGTGCCAGCAGCTCACAAAGTAGGATTTTTGCTCACACGGCTCCACAGCTCAGAGGGAGCCTTGGCCAGGACCCCTCCCTGCCCCCTTCCCCGGGGGTGCTGCTGCACCAGCGACTTCCTCATGCCCAAAGTGCTGTTTAACCCCCTCCTGCCCAGCAGGGATGACACGGAGGCTTTGGAAGCCTTTTGCCCTTGTGCAATTCGGCTACCCACAAGGAATAGGGAAGTGAGCCACTGAGGTGCATAAGGGGAGAGCCCGGTCAGTGTTTTCATTACCCATCCAGGTCCAGAAACGAGGGGGAAGGAGTTTAAAGAGGTCATGGATCGTGTGGGAGTGAGCAGAGGGGGAAGGGCCGACCAACTAGCTTTTCAGCTCTTGCGTGACTCATGATGTGCCCCCCCCCAGCCTTCATTTCAGCCGGAGGAAAAGGCGATGACTTATTGCGATTTGAAGCCCAGGAAAGATTCTCCCAGCTTCATGGCAGTGAGCCCAGCGTCCTGGTCACCTG